TGAGAAAGTTTTCAAAAACATAGGATGACATGTGAAAGCCCTCTAAATATAATATGTAAAGAGATTCATATGATTTTTTTACAATACAGAATCAATTCAGATTGGTTTGGAAAGAATTTTTTAGTCTAATTTTTTAGTTTTTTTTGGCTAATTTAATTTGGTTAAACTAACTTTGTTTGGACAATTTATTTAGACTTTTTTTTTATATTTTTTGTAAAAAAAATAAAATAATTATCATTTAAATTTTATCTTTTCGTGTTTTATTAATTTCAATTTAAACCCAACTCAACTGCCCAACGACAGCTCTGTCCTATTAGTGACGTAACAGATGGTAACCCAATGTGTTTTTTGGGTGCACTTACCCAACTCACCCATGCCACATACTCATCATTTTACTGTTAATGATGGAACCAAGAGGACAATTCAGAGGAAGCTTCATTAGTGTCCTTTTTTTTTGTCTTTTGAGGTTCTTCCAATCTTTTCCAACCTTTGCTTTTTTAATAGAAAGTTGTTGGGTTGTTTGGTCTGGTTGTTTCACTTGCTTGCCCTTTTTTTCAAACAACTATTCATATCTTTTTTGAATAGTTAGCCTTAATTGGAATTTTACTGCTTGCCCTTTTTTTCAAACAACTATTCATATCTTTTTTGAATAGTTAGCCTTAATTGGAATTTTACTGTTTCTTTCTAATGGATTATCTAATTAGAGAGTCATAGTTTATTTTGATAAGTCGAATAGTTTATTTTTAAAAATTTATTAAATATATTAGAAAAATAAATTAATTAGATATCAATAATTACATAACCTAGTCACATTTATTTCATAAAAATGAATGAAAATTTTTATTTTATAACAAATTTTATAAATGTGATTCAATCCTACGATTTAAATTACCAAAATACAATTATGACAAGCACAGTAGGATTTAGCTGTACATTTTTAATTGAATTACCAACCTGGGAGAAGTTCAACTCTCAATTAATTTTTCATCCTCAATTATTTCATTAAAATTGAATGTTATTCATGATCTAAGAAACTAGATCGGAACTAAGAGAAAACTATAAAGGGTCATGATCCTCCTGTTTCTGTGAGAAATGCTGTTTGCCATAATACTTTAAGAATATATATATATACCATTTTATACATAAAATGTTCCTCTAGTGTAAAATATATATATCTCATTCTTTTTTCATCTTGCATTCTCTTTCTATTTTGCACAAAAAAATTTATTCATCCTATTAGAGATTGCTTCTATGGTGTATATATTTTTTCTATATATATATACAATTTATACATACAAGTGTATTTGTTTATGTGGTAAAAAAAAAATTAGTCACTCTGTTTGGTTTTAGTTTTTAGAATTCATTTTTCAGAAAATTCTACTTTTTTGTTTTTCATATTTTTTTTTTTGTTTTCACTGAATTTTTAATATTTTAAGCAATTTTTTAAATTTTAAGACACATCTAATATAAATACACTTAAAAAGTATAATATTTATGAAAAAAATCTTTTAAAAATTCACTAAATACCAAAAATATTTAAAAAAAATAAAAAATCAGTACATTTTTTTAATTATATTTTTTAATTTTTTAAAATATTTTTTCACAAAGATTTTACTATTTAGATACATCTAAGTAAGGTGCATTTAAAATTTTAAAAATATTCACTAAAAACAAAAAAAAACATAGAAACAAAAATTCAATTTTCAAAAAGCTGAAACCAAAATTGAATTTTTAATATTTTAAGCAATTTTTTAAATTTTAAGACACATCTAATATAAATACACTTAAAAGGTATAATATTTATGAAAAAAATCTTTTAAAAATTCACTAAATACCAAAAATATTTTAAAAAAATAAAAAATCAGTACATTTTTTTAATTATATTTTTTAATTTTTTAAAATATTTTTTCACAAAGATTTTACTATTTAGATACATCTAAGTAAGGTGCATTTAAAATTTTAAAAATATTCACTGAAAACAAAAAAAACATAGAAACAAAAATTCAATTTTCAAAAAGTTGAAACCAAACACACTGATTGTTCTTTTAACTCCTCTGATAATAAAATTCTGATTCCGTTCCTGCCAAGAAATATTAGTTTATGCATTATGAAGTTATATATATCTATATAATAAGGCACAAAGGATTTTGAAAAATGTATCAAAATATATGTGAGATACATTTTGATCCAAAGGCTAAGATCAATTCTAAGAATATATTAACGGTTGAGATGAATAGATGTCCCGCCCATGACTTCTCTCTCTAAGCATCATTGTCTTTCCCACCTACCCACGTCTGCCTCCCCACCGTCTCTTTCTATCTGTCTCTCCCTCTCCCTCTCTGTTCTTGAATACATCTCTCTCTTTCACAGATACATCTCTCTCTGTTTGGGATAATCATTGTTCATTATCCACAAGTTTTAGGTTTTGGATTGAGGTTTCAATGGCTGCTGAGGACTCAGATTGCTTTACCCAATTTGTTTCGGAAACACTAGAGACAAATTCACTTGGGGGTGAAGCAAAAAGTGTCGAAATTGGACTCAGACAGAGCGAAGCTGAACTGGGTTCGGGGAAGAAGATGAAAATGAGGGCTAAAATCGACACGTCAGCGCCTTTCGAGTCTGTGAAGGAGGCAGCGAGTCGATTCGGTGGAATCGGTTTCTGGAAACCCAATTCCCACAAGCCCTTTGAATCTTCTGAGGTCTGCTCTTTCTCTTTCTCTCTCCAAGCAAAGTTTATTAATGTTTTTGCTTTAGAATTTTATTTTAACCTGTTTCACAGATACATCTCTCTCTGTTTGGGATAATCATTGTTCATTATCCACAAGTTTTAGGTTTTGGATTGAGGTTTCAATGGTTCAATGATAGCACTGCTCTGACTTAGCTTTGTGTACTGATCTGCCACTTTCTATATATTACTTTTTATAATATAGTTTTCTTTTTGGTTGGTTGCTTCGACTGACTCAAAATTTAACTCAAATCTAACCTAACTTTCTGAAGAGGTATTCTCTACCATAGATACAAGCAATCAGATATGACCAAATAATATTAATATATCAAGTGACAGTAAAGTTAGCTTTCGAGTCTGTGAAGGAGGCAGCGAGTCGATTCGGAGGAATCGGTTTCTGGAAACCCAATTCCCACAAGCCCTTTGAATCTTCGGAGGTTTGCTCTCTCTCTCTCTCTCTCTCTCTCTCTCCAAGCAAAGTTTATTAATGTTTTTGCTTTAGAATTTTATTTTATCCTGTTTCACAGATACATCTCTCTCTGTTTGGGATAATCATTGTTCATTATCCACAAGTTTTAGGTTTTGGATTGAGGTTTCAATGGTTCAATGATAGCACTGCTCTGACTTAGCTTTGTGTACTGATCTGCCACTTTCTATATATTACTTTTTATAATATAGTTTTCTTTTTGGTTGGTTGCTTCGACTGACTCAAGATTTAACTCAAATCTAACCTAACTTTCTGAAGAGGTATTCTTTACCATAGATACAAGCAATCAGATATGACCAAATAACATTAATATATCAAGTGACAGTAAAATTAGACATTCATAATACACTATAAAATAAAAAAATTGGGATCAAATCCAGTTATGAATAAATCTGGACCTATATATATATTTTTTGTCGTAACTGTAGGAGTGGACTTTATATATATTTGGAATAAATCTGGACCTATAGATATCTGGACCTATATAAATCTGGACCTATATATATTTTTTGGGATCAAATCCAATTATGATCAAACACAGCAGGAGTGAACTTTACACCCCATGTCGTAACTGTATACACAGGAGAGGTAATACATTGCAATTATTGGTTTGTTTTGACTTAATTAAAGTGGGTGGAAAGAGGATCTCTGTGCAGATCTGAGGTGTGTAATGTGTTTGTGGGTACATTACTTTTTTTATTACTGTTATGTTAGTTTATTACTGTTTTTGGATGTTAGTTTATTACTTTTTTTGGATGTTAGTTTATAGAGTCACCAAAACATATATACTGTATATATAGATTTTTTTAAAAGAAGGAAATCTGCAATGTTTGCTTACATGGTCATTTCAGAAAAGTAGAACAGAAAAGTTGACAAGAAATGATTTATTGACAGGAAGATTGATTTTTGAGTGTGATTGATTAAATAGGGCTCTGATTAAAGCACCTGCATATAAGATATCTGATTAGATTGTAATTCAACCTTCCCTTTTTGGTTTGCTTAATCAGTTACATAATAGTATGTCATTGTCAGTTAAATTTGAATCTTGCGCATTGATTGATTTCTATTTTAAATAATTTTAGCAGTCACATCGCAAAAATTTTTTTTCAAAAGAAGGATTTAATCTGATGTATTCTGTGTTTCCTGTTATGTAGTTTCCTTCCATGGCATCCTTGCATGGTGCTCTACCAAATGTGGCAGCTCCAGCAGGCTTATTGAGCACTTCCAGCCTCGGTACCCCTTCGACATCATGGATGCTGTCTCAGTCATCTTATCCATTAGCAATGCCTGCCCAGGCACCATCTTTTACATATGCAGTTCCTCCAGTTCCTTTTTTTTTTAGTAGGGAAAATAAAATTGTATTTTCAACAAATTGTTAGAACACCATTGGTTACCAAGATGAGTTCAATTTGTTAGAATTGAATAGGGAAGTATCATAGAAAGATTGATTTCAAGTCACATAGGCCCATATACAATTCTTAGACATGCTTGCCCCCAAAGCTTTTTCATGATGTTTAGATACTAATTTGGAAATCATGATGTTTTCACAGTGACAATTGCCCTTTTTCATTATTTTTGACCTCGATTACTATCTCTTTGCATCTAATTTCGGGTCTCTCTGACCTCTGCTGTCTTGGATTCTTCTCATTTTTTGGGTTTTGGGATGAAATTAGTTCTAATTGCTATGCATATTTTTAGGATGAAATTGATTCTAATTGCTATGAAATCGATTCTAATTGCTATGATATGCAAAAAATAATTTCTACTATTTTTATTTACATAGATCCTGAGGTCCAAGGGGTCTTAACTGCTGCTCAGAAGCACTGGCCTCACATCCATATATTTGATTCGCAGGTTATGGCAGATTCGGCTGTCAAGATGGTAAAAGCTGGTTGCCAATATATCACAGTTCTTGGAGTTGATTTTATGTCAGAAAATGTGCGGGCAATCCTTTATCAGGCTGGCTTCTTAGAGGTAGTCTTTTTCCTCTTCTTTTCGTGTATTCTTATTTCATCACTTTGTCAGTTATAAATCCAATTCTAAAAACAGCTTTCAAGTTAACAGAGTAAAAAGTGCTACTTGGTCAACAAATATTTTAATTGAAGCATAGATTTCATATTTCAAGAACTAATAAATTAACATAATTAAAACATGAAAACCAAAATCCCATAAAATGCATGCATTGAAAACTATTAATGTGAGGTAATTAGTTTTCTATCTCTATGTATATATAATGACTATTTTAATATAATACCTTTGTTCATATAATGAGAAGGGTAAAATTGTTTTTTTAGGACTTTACATTTTTTAGGAATGTTCTGTCACTTGGTTTGTTGCACGAGGAGCAATTAACAAATAGCATTCACACAATCAATTGGTGTGGAATCCACTTCAATGATTATATAATGGATATTTTATTTAATAGCATCGGTACCCAATTTGTATACATATCATCGGTACCCAATTTCTTGCTCACTGTAGAACTGATGAGTGTTTTTTTGAGGTATATAAATATGTACTCTATTCTCTGTTAGTTGCAATATTGATCTTTTGCCAATACTTAACATGTGAAATTCAACGGTGCAATACTTAATTGTTGTGGTGCTATCAGATTGGTGGAGAAAGCTTGAGAATTTATAAGCGTGAGATTCAAGAAAATGTTTTGGAAATTGTTGGCATTTCCCCTGAGCAGGTAAGGAGACACTTAATGAATATTGGCTGGATTGCTCAATTATTAATTACTAGGGCTGTGTTTTATCTCTTACGTTGTAAATTATTTTTATATTCCCATCTAATGCAATATGTAAGTACCAAATTGGAGAAAGTATATGTAGATCATTTGAATTACCTGATATTAATATTATCATGGTTTTCATACTTCTATGGGCCAAAATTTTCATTGTACTACTAACAATCATCAATATATTTTCATGCATTGACCAATTCTTCAAGATATTAGATCACTGTGGTGTGCACACTACATTGAATTGAAACACATGTGATGTTGGCACTTTGGAAAATAGTTCCTGGCAAGTTTTGGGTAGATCACTGTGGTTTGCACACTACTTTCTGATTTTTATTTTCTTTTTAGTTAAAATATTTTTGAAATGATAGATACAGCCACATATATTTACCATTTAAAGGTGAGTTCCAATTGGACACCACTTGGAACCTTTGAATTTCCTTAGATTGATGTGTTAAATACTTATTGCTCCCAAGGAAAGGAATAGCCGAATGTTAAATCTAGAAACTATTGACCCATATATAATATGGGCTCTGTTTTGTCTACAGGCTGAAGCAAAATTTGGCTATCTTTTGGAGGCTTTAGACATGGGTGCTCTTCCACATGGTATGAACTGCTAGCTTTAGACATTGGGCCTTCCAACTTTTTGGGAGCAAAACCATGTAGGAATGAGATGCATCTCTCTTGAACTCTTTAATATGCTTTTACTCCAACTTCAATTCCTCTTCTTATTTTCCTGTTGTTTATCCTCTTCTGTTTTAGAGTTCAAAAGAGAAGTGTTTCTTATATGATATTGTTGCAAGTATATCACTATCTCTTTTCACTTCCTTTGATTTGTGTGTTTTATTTTGTGTTTATAATTTTTTTTTTTCTTCACTTGCTTAGCAAGGATGCTTTTATTTTTGTTTTTTGTGTTGATATGAAGTTTATACTTTAGAGTCATAAAGTCTGTTAATAAAACCAAAATGTTTTGTTATTTTAGGGTTCTGTTTTGGAGTTTAATTGGTGTATTGAGGAAACCGTCGAGTTTCATGATTTTGTTGTTCGAATTTGGTACAGCTGTTCAATTTCATGATTTTGCTGTTTTACTATGAAGTTGAGGGCATAGTTGAAGTGCTCTGTCTCTATAAAAATAGAGAACTATCCTTTTGTGTTTAATGCTTTTATGATTTTTGCACAATCTGTATACAACTTCTATATGTATTACATTTCCCTCACTGTAAATTTCCATTTGATAACTATTTGTTTATGGACATTACAGTAAATTTCCATTTGATAACTATTTGTTTATGGACATGTTTGAATTATATTCATTGCTTCACTTTTAATTACTATATTTTGCTGCCCAAATCAGTGCATATTTAGTTATTTCAATATATATAGATATTGTTTAATTATGTTCACCGTCTTAATTCATTTCATTAGATGTTGTAATAAAAATAAAAATAACAGTTAATAACTATTACAATTACTATATTATTGTAGTTGTTGTTTATATCATTATCACTATCATAATTAATTCATTTCATTGGTGGGGACACATTGCAGTATTTTGATGGATATGGATATCATGGAGCATCACTTGAGCAAACATATCGATGTTACCCTGCATCTTTTATTGATAAGGTTGGAAAGCTTTCCTCAACATGATAATTGTTTTGTTTTGTTTGATTCACTTAATTAATTTGATTTTATTCATTATACTGTTTCAGTTTTATGTTTTGTCATCTTTTCTATGTCCTCAACCAAATTCATGGCAGTCTTTAATGAAATGTAAATGTAAATGAATTCTGGAAAATTAACAATTAAGATGATACCATATGTGCTCTTTCATTTCCCTTGAAGGCCTTCATGTCTTTCTTTACTCATTTTTGTGTCCACCCACATCCCAAAAAAAAAGAAAAAAGAAAAGGAGATGGAAAATAAAAAATATAAAAGGAAAACAGTGGAAAGGGGGAAAAAGACTGTAATTGTATGTTGTCTTTTACTTATTCATATTCGAATTTCTAATTTATTTGTTTCTTTTCAATCCTGCAGCCACAGATTGAAAATGATGATAAAAGTAAGTTATCAAACTCTAAAATAGTTGTTTTCATAAAGTAGGTAATGATGATGGTAATAATGATATGATATGATGTATATATATATATATTGGATCATTAATCTGTATTGTTATTGGTTTTGAAAATCCAGATGGGTATTCAAATCAAAACAAGTGTAGTTGGATCAAAAGTTGGAGCTCCAAAGGCAAGAATAGATGATTTATTTTTTCCCCTTCTCTCTCTGTTCTTCTCCTTCATTTCATGAATACATAGATTTTTAGGGTTGTTTATAACATTCTTGGGTTTATGATATGATATGATGTATATATATATATATTGGATCATTAATCTGTATTGTTATTGGTTTTGAAAATCCAGATAGGTATTCAAATCAAAACAAGTGTAGTTGGATCAAAAGTTGGAGCCCCAAAGGCAAGAATAGATGATTTATTTTTTCCCCTTCTCTCTCTGTTCCTCTCCTTCATTTCATGAATACATACATTTTTAGGGTTGTTTATAACATTCTTGGGTTTGATTGGTGCATTTGGGTTTGATATTTTTTTTCCTTTCTCTCTGTTCTTCTTCATTTCATTAATACATACATTCATGAATACATTGATATATTTTTAGTTTCATCATCTGGGTTTAAAATTGGGTTCATTGGGGATTACAATCTGTGTAATTTGGGGTATATTTTTATTATAATTGGGATAAATGTTTCATTACATGTACATTTACTCTCACTTTTTAAACCCAGATGTTTGAGTGTAAATGTAATGATACTCACTTTTTAACAAACACTGATACATTGATACATTGGGGCTTACAATCTGGGTTTGAGTGTAAATGTAATGATACATTGATACATACATTTATATATTTTTAATATAACAAACACTTAAAAAGTGAGTGTAAATATTTTAACCGTGCCAATGTTATGTTTCATCATCTGGATTTGATATATTTTTCGTGTGTATTATGAAAACTCAACATGATATGTATACGCGTGTGTATTATGATGTATATGTATAATGGTATAGTAATTTGTCTTAATTTTGTAGCCTTTAGTTTGAGTCTGTATTTTGAGACAATTTAGAGATTTATTGCTTAGATGAGCTACTGGAATATGTGCTTGAGTTTATATATTAGCTGGGTTTCTACTCATTAGTTTATCACCGCATTGTGCTTATGGAAAATTTCAATTATGTTTGTGTCTCATTAGCACATGTCTAATGTATATGAAGTTTTATAGGACTAGAGTTTTTTGAATATTTGTCACACAATTTTGATTTTTAAAAATGCCATTAGAATTGCTAACTGAATGAATAAAAAGAGTTTCAAATAAAAAGAGTTTTAAATTCCCCTTCTAATATTCAAACAGGGACCTCCAATTCTAACCTTTGCCAGTTTTAAAGAGTTGCAAGCTCTGTTTCGATCATTTAGAAGGACAAAATTTAGGCTTGGACATGCACACTGGGGTTTCACCTTAAAAGTGCCCAACCCGCAGCTTTACTGCATTGACAGATTGTGTCATTGCATCTCATCTCCAACAAAATTTTCGTCCTTACTTCAACCAACTATTGATTAAACTTAACAATTTCCCAATTCGACATCATTAATTAGAATCATAATATTATTTTCCCATGAATTTTATCATTTATTATAACATTCAATTGCCAAATTTCAGTTACTATTTTTTATACAAAAATGCTAGAGGTCCCAAAAATTTTACCAAAAGTTTTACCAAATGTCTCACATGGGTGTGGGACCCACATGGGACCCACATTTTGTGGGTCCCACACCCATGTGAGACATTTGGTAAAATTTTTGGTAGAATATTTGGGGTCTCTAGCATTACTCTTTTTTATATTGTTGTGTTGTTTACTATTTTTTAAATTGTTGTGCTGTTTGGTATGGTGTGCAGAATCTGCTTCGAACCCCGATTGGAGCTCTCCGGTAGAGCTACTTCAAAGCTACACCAAACCTAAGGCTTCTATCTGTGCAAGGTAATATTTATGTCTCTATTTCCCTTCTCTCTCTATTGAAAAGAAAAAAATTAAATCCAAAAGATTTCAAATAAAAAGAGTTTTAAAGAGTTCAAATAAAAAGAGTTTTAAATTCCCCTTCTAATATTCAAACAGGGGCCTCAATTTCTAACCTTTGCCAGTTTTAAAGAGTTGCAAGCTCTCTTTCGATCATTTAGAAGGACAAAATTTAGGCTTGGACATGCACATTGGGGTTTCACCTTAAAAGTGCCCAACCCGCAGCTTTACTACATTGGCAGATTGTGTCATTACATCTCATCTCCAACAAAATTTTCGTCCTTACTTCAACCAACTATTGATTAAACTTAACAATTTCCCAATTCGGCATCATTAATTAGAATCATAATATTATTTTCCCATGAATTTTATCATTTATTCATTTCATACTAGCCGCCATTAGAAACATTTCAATGAGTAAAAGTAGTTCCACTCCAAAACCCTCTATATAAAAAAATTAATTTCAAAAAATGTGTTTTTCAGCCCAGGTCTGCCCAAACAGGGGAAAAAAAAAAGGAGAAACATTTCAATGAGTAAAAGTAGTTCCACTCCAAAACCCTCTATATAAAAAAATTAATTCGAAAAATGTGTTTTTCAGCCCAGATCTGCCCAAACAGAGGGAAAAAAAAAAGAGAAACATTTCAATGAGTAAAAGTAGTTCCACTCCAAAACCCTCTATATAAAAAAATTAATTCGAAAAATGTGTTTTTCAGCCCAGATCTGCCCAAACAGAGGGAAAAAAAAAAGAGAAACATTTCAATGAGTAAAAGTAGTTCCATTCCAAAACCCTCCATATAAAAAAATGAATTTCGAAAATGTGTTTTCCAGCCCAGATCTGCCCAAAGAGGGGGGGGGAAGGGGCCAAAAAGAGTGAATTTTACTACGATGTCTCTGAAGAGCTGATAATCAATATCTTTTCTGCAAGTAATAAATCATCAGGGGTCGTAACCTGCAGATCATAAAAGACTTCGAATAATTTTTAACCCTTCCCTCTCTGTTCTTTTCCTTCATTTCATGAATACATAGTAAGGAGATCGTAATTACAGACTTATTTTAATTTTGAAGTTTGTTTTTAGAATTTACATATTTTGTATTGAATTTTCGGAATTTGATGGATTTAAAGCAATTTCATGTTTTTTTGTGTGTGTATATAATTTACGGTTTCCTGGTTATGATTCTATTCCAAAATTGCTTTTTGTGTTTGTTTTTAAGTATCATGTTTTCATGAATTAGTCCATACATGGATTTCAGATTTGTGTTCCACCATGACAATCAAGATCCCAGTACCTTACTTCAACCAACTATTGATTATACTTAACAATTTCCCAATTCGACATCATTAATTAGAATCATACTATTCTTTTCCCATGAATTTTATCATTTATTCATTTTCTACTTGCTGCCATTAGAAACATTTCAATGAGTAAAAGTAGTTCCATTCCAAAACCCTCTATATAAAAAAATGAATTTCGAAAAATGTGTTTTTCAGCCCAGATCTGCCCAAACAGGGGGAAAAAAAAAGGAGAAACATTTGAATGAGTAAAAGTAGTTCCATTCCAAAACCCTCTATATAAAAAAATGAATTTCGAAAAATGTGTTTTTCAGCCCAGATCTGCCCAAACAGGGGGAAAAAAAAAGGAGAAACATTTGAATGAGTAAAAGTAGTTCCATTCCAAAACCCTCTATATAAAAAAATTAATTTCGAAAAATGTGTTTTCCAGTCCAGATCTGCCCAAAGAGGGGAAAAAAAAAGGGGCCAAAAAGAGTGAATTTTACAACGATGTCTCTGAAGAGCTGATAATCAATATCCTTTCTGCAAGTAATAAATCATCAGGGGTCGTAACCTACAGATCATAAAAGACTTCGAATATTAGTTCATAAATGAAAAGTAAAACATGGTCATGTTCAAGACAATGAGAAAAAAATGAATCTGAGTCTAAATTGCATGTATGAATCCATAAGCTAACAGTTCTGTGTTCAATTATTAAATAGTCCACCTTTCCCCTCAAGATCATAGAGCAAATTTCACTTCCTTGATGTTGGTGTAAGATCCTTCAGTTATGTATACGGGATGTTTCAGGTGCTCCACAATAGATACATCATCAGTGACTTCAAGGCCTTCCCTGCAGATACACTTGAATATAAATCTTTTTATTACAAATAAATAATTAGAAATTTGATAAACTTTAGAACAAGTATCGTAATTGGATGGCAATTCTCAGCTCATTGCTTGGGTGCACTAGGAAGGTCTTGACAATATCTTTACAGTAAAAGCAATATTTATAATAATATCTATATAATATTCACATATTCTTACTGTTAATGTTTTTCATTACAATATATAATGCCTAGAAAGATCTGGAGGACATTTCATGTCCAAGCTTGACATTGAATTTTTAGGTTCCTGTAGGCTGCCTAGAAAAACATGGAAAACATATTTATCCCAATCACACGTAATAAAAATTCAATATCAAGCTTGGGCATGCACATTCCAGTTTCACCAGTCATGATTTATTTTCATTTTATAGTGTTAGGTTTGATTTGTTTGGAATTGTAGAGTATAGTCTGTTAAATATATTTTTATAACTGCATTTTAATCTTAATATTATTTACACCGTGTCTTTAGGCACGGACATACGCTAGTACA